TTTAATTCCAAAGTGCATTACCTTGCATTTATCGACATTGAACTTCATCTGCCATACAGTTGCCCACTCCCCAAGTTTATCCAGTCCTCCTGTAATGTTATAACATTTAAATCCCTGTCTATTACCCTCCCAATTTTCGTATATCATCAGCAAACACTGAGACACGACTACTCACTCCCTCCCCTATATCATTAATAAATAGGTTAAAAAGCATGGGACCCAGCACAGAACCCTGGGGCACGCCACTCATGACCTCAACCCAATCAGAAAAGGTGCCGTTTAGCGATACTCTTTGTACACGTTCCTTTAGCCAGTTTTCTATCCACGTGCACACTAATTCATCTATGCCCATAGCCCTTAGCTTGTATAACAAGCGTTTATGTGGCACCATATCAAACGCTTTGGAGAAATCCAGATATACTACGTCCACCGGCCTCCCTCCATCCAGATCTCTACTAACCTCTTCGTAAAAGGTCAGCAGGTTGGTCTGATAAGAACGATCCTTCCTAAATCCATGCTGATTATCAGTTATTATGCCATGATCCCGATAATCAGCATGGATTTAGGAAGGATCGTTCTTGTCTTGAACATGTTGGAAGATAAGTATATGAATTTTAAGCTACAAATCGATTTTCCCCCAAACTTGCTATACTACTAGACTCTCTCTATGCCAACATATTCTGAAGATTTTGGGTAATTTAATAGAACGTACCAAAAGTTATTCACATTAAACTATTTTATTACAATCCTAATACATTTTAATGTGAACAGCTTAATGTAAAAAGAGCCTAATGTGTAAAAAAGTATCTAAACCTCAATCAGATGCCTTGAAACTTTGCACAACCCAAGTGCTCAGCTTCCCAAACCTATCCTGCAATTATCCTGCAAATCAATGTCCGCCGTATTTTACACATTACAAGACACTATCTATACCAACATATTCTGAAGATTTTGGGTCATTTGATAAAACATACCAAAAGTTATTCACATTAAACTATTTTACTGCAATCCTAAAACACTTAGCTTAATGTAAAACGAGCTTAATGTACCATAATGTGCCTAAACCTCAATCAATTGAAACTTTGCACAACCTAAGCTCTCATCTTATTGAGTGGTGTTGGGCTTGTGTAGCCCCTACTACCTTTGTGCAGTGGCTATTAGAAATTTAAGGGGTTATTCACTAAGCTAGCCGCAGGATCAGCCGTAGGTCCGGCTGATCCTTCGGCTAGCTTCAGCCGCTGGAGCCCTTCGGTTCAGTAGAACAGAAGGGCTACTGTACGTGCTATTCACTATAGCCCATGCAGCTCCCAAAGTTGGGTCGAGCGGCTCAGTCAAGCCGAAGGCATATGCTTCGGCTCTACTGAGCCGAGGTGAAACTTGAAGCGGGCTGAACGGCCGACCATTGGCTGGCCGAAAGCCTTGCAACTTACAGCTGGGCGGAGCCAGGCGTGATCTCACGGCTGGCTCCGGCCAGTTGCAATGACAGATCAGTGTCCCCAGGTTACCTGGGGACACTGAATTGTCATTACACAATGACAACTTGGTGGAGCCGGGCGCGATCTCACGGCTGGCTCCGGCCAGTTGCAATGACAGATCAAAATGCTTTAGGATTGTAATAAAATAGTTTAATGTAAATAACTTTTTGGTATGTTTTATCAAATGGCACACACTCTTCAGAATATGTTGGCATAGAGAGAGTCATGTAGTATGGCAAGTTTTTGGGGGAAATCGATTAACATCTAAGTTGTTTTTTGTACGTTAAGCCACATTAAGCTCCCCAAAAATCACGCTTAATGTCACTCATTTGCCTTGTGGGTAACTAAAATCCATGAAACGTCCAGGATAGGGTTGGGAAGCTGAGAAGGTAGGTTGTGCAAAGTTTCAAGGCAGTTGATTGAGGTTTAGGGCACATTATGTGTCAGGAAGCAGGGGGTGTTACCTCTACTCGGGGACCACGGGCACGGCGGAGGGCACGGGTTCTCCTTCAGCTCGGTAGAACACCTGGTGCCCGAGGTGCGGGTGCGCATGCGCGAGTCGTGCAGCGTGTGCGAATGTGCAGTACGCAGGCTGCACGCGCATCCCCGGGAGCGCGTGCATAGTGTTCCTGCGTCATCTGGCTATCAGGTGTGAGCCTTGCTGGGGGAGGTTCCCAGTACACACCTTCCATCTTCCTCGCCTGCCATTGGTTCCCGGGGGGGGAAGCCTCCTGGTTGCCTCGGTGACCAGGGGGTGGTCCTACCTCCCCTGGCTATAAAAACTTGGCCTGAGCTCTGGCTTATTGCTGAGTTATTCCACCTTTATGGTGAACACCTAGCCTCCCTGCTGATCCTCCTATTGCCTGTTGCCCCTTTGTATCCTTCCCGATTGCTGACCCTTGGACTGTCTTCCGCCTTAGAACCTTCGCTGTCTGCCTCGACCCGGATTGGACATTGACTACCCCTCTTGGATTATCCCTAAACTTGTACCACATTTCTGGACTGTCAGCTGCTTACTGCCAGTGGATTCCTCATCTCACTACTAGCTCCCTGGGACGTCTGACATTATGGTACATTAAGCTACATTAAGCTATTTTCACATTAAATGTTTTAGGATGTCCCTTGATGTCCTCTTTTGGCTTTTGCTCTGGGATCCCGTTTGATTATTTTTTTAATTGTTCAGGGTAAATTATCTCTTCTGCACACATGATTCAGGGGTGTGGACATTTAAAAAAAAAACTACCTGCCCAAGGGCTAAAGCAGGGGCCAAATCTACTTGTCCCTCATGACAATCTACTTGTGCTGATACAAAAAAATATTTTTAATCAAAACCGTATTTAACTGTGCTAAGAAGCGCTTCTCATTGGTCAGCGTGGTCACCTGCAGGTTTTTTTGTTACCTCAAATCAAAGGGCTGCTTAACTCAACACATGTTAATGCACAACACAACACACTTGAGAGGACAGATTTGAAACCAGCCTAAATAATTTCCCCATCAATTACTAATAATGTGTGTAACTTATTTCTGTGTGTTATATTATTTATCCAATCAAAATTGTGCTTTATGAAAATTATTAGTTCATCTGTGTCCATGTTTTTTTCACAAAAAACCCACAGCCCAATCTATTTACCCTTTTGGCTTTGCTAGGACTATAAAGAGAAATAAGTGTAGGAGGTGGGCAGACCATTTTTGCAAATTTACACTTTCTTTCATATTCTTTCATATTCCAACTACAGCTTTCAGAGTTTGTAACCCATACAGCCCCAAACAATAACAGGGTTATTCACAAAGTTGCCGAGTGAATAACCGAGCAGAAGTGAACAGAGCTGAATGACGTTTGGCTATATACTCCGGCTCAGTACATTGGCTGAAATCAGCCATACATTGGCTGCTTTTGGTCAGCCGAACATGCTCTGCATGTTCGGCTGAGCCGGAGTGCAGAGGGAGCGGCATTCGACTTGGCTATTCTGCTTGGTGCCTCCAAGGTACCGAGCAGAATAGAAAATCAGTAAAAAGAGTGAAGAAAAAAAAAAAGTTAAAAAATATTTAAAGAATGTAAACAAATAGTAAAATTAAAAAAGAAATAAAGATATTTTTAAAAAGTAAAACAATTGGGCGGAGGTAGCAGTGACAGCTAGCTCCACCCAACTGCTTCCTATTGTCTGGCACCTGCTAGAGTCTCCTTTGGCAGGTCCTGGCCAATGAATAACAACTGGGCGGAGCTCGCCATGACGTCACGGCCGGCTATGTCCAGTTGTTATTGTTTAATGACAGGTCGGCGTCCCCAGGTCATTTGGGGTCACTGATCTGCCATTACAACTGGTCGGAGTGAGCCGTGAGATCCAGCTGTCATTTGCAGCGCGAACGGCTGGCCTTCGGCAGGCCATTCTCTCCTCTGCGGCTCAGTTGAGCCGAAGCATATGCCTGCTGTACGGGCTATAGTGACTGAACCGAACGGCTCAGTCGTCAGAAGATAGCCGAAGGATCAGCCGAAGCTATTGCTGGATCCTTCAGCTCTTTAGTGAATAACCCCCTAAGGTTTTTTGACAGCACATGACCCGGAGAATAAAAAGATAGTGCTGCTGATTATGTAGGTCCCACAACAGTTGCGCTAATGTTTATCAAAACAGTATATTAGATTAAAAATACACTAAAATCATTATCAGCACACACAAAAACAACATAATTTACACAATTTATACTTGGGTGAGTATCATTTTGTTATTTTTGAACCTAGAAGAAAAGGAGCACTTAACCCTTGCAATGTGAGAGTAGCCCCACTTCAAGGGTTAAGAAAAAAATTCCCTGGAGTTCTGTTTCAAGTCATTCAAAACAAAAGTCAGTTAAAAACCAAAACATACAGCAGTAAAGAACTAAAAAGGGAAAGGTATGAGTCTTCACTTGGCGTTTAATCCTACCCGGCGTTTAATCCTACCCTATCCAACCCAAAGGGGGTTGCTGGGAAATGTACATGACCCTATTAGCATACCAAAAGCTGTGTAAAACCAAAACATAAATGAAAATGCAGACACACACTTACAAAGTATGTCACATTACAGAGAACTTCCAAAAGATAATTAATCTTTGTATACACGTTTTGAATTTTGTTTGAAAAAATTAGCTTTCAGAATGTTCGTTTGATTGTAATGGTTATTGGCAGTCAAATCAACAATTGATTTCAACCCAAGAGGTGAGAAAAAAATCGAAGGGACAGGATGGACATTTTTTCTTTAGCGAATGAAATTCTAACACTGAATATGGTGTTCATTTGGTAAACTCCTTTCATTCCAAAATCGAATGTTAAAATCAAAGGAAATTTGGAATGACATTTATCCAGTCTGATGGCATTATCAAATGTTCCGAGAAGATTTTTCAAATGAATGTAGGTATGAAATTCTAACCGTGTGTACCCAGCTTTAGTCCATGGATGTAGCTTTCACCAACAACTAACATAGGTATAGTGAAAGTTTTCAAAATACAGAGCAATTATCTTAACCTAAAATGATAATAGCCTCAATTACTTACAGTCGGACCCACACTCTACCGGACTCATCTCCATGTTGTATGTGGCCTTCAGTGGGCTACTCCAAGCTCTCGTATATGCTCGCCTAGGAATGCAATTTGGGTGAATCTTTGGACCTACCTGTTATGGAACAAGATTTGGCTTCCTGCTGCTAAATACTCACCGAATACTCTGGGGGTGATTTACTAACCTAAACACACGCACACACCGGGTGCGTGTGATTTTCACACAGCAAAACGTATTTATCAACCAAAAAGTCTCTAAAAGCATATTTCCACTAATGCCATATATGGAAAAATCATGCACATGATGCATATATAATGCTGCTTCACAGTTTAGACAAAAATGGTTAGCTCATGCATTTACATTCCTGCATTCATCAACGCAAGCAACACAACATAGAGCTAATTTACACAACATCACCTTGCAATTCATGCAGGGCTTTGCACAACACACCTGCTGGGTGTGTACACACTACAAAGGTGTTTAGATTCCACCCATAGATCATGCTGGGAGGGAACACACTACAGAGGTGTATACTTGTTCATGGCGTGTTTATAAGGTTAGTAAATCAACCCCTCTGTCTCAGAAAAATGCTCATAAGATGCTGTTTTGCTGGTACATGACACCTTGCAGAATTTTCAAGTTTGCCCCTGGGGCTTCTTGGTGGTGATTGAAATTGTGGGTGCGGGTCTACAACTTGCTGTGGTCAGTTTAGCATTGCCCTATTATCTGACATTTTTGGGACGCCTTACTTGGGAGGCCTGTCACAAAACTTGGTAAGAAGGGTAGGAAATTAGCAACCTTCATTTTCTTGGCTATCCGCCAGACTATAGCTAAGGCATGGAAACAACCGACCTTGAACTTTTTGGAGGCCAAGCGAAGGGTTATGTGTATAATGGTGCATAAGAAGCTCACGGCTGTCCTGAATGGCATTTACTCTGACTGTCTCAAGATTTGGTCCCCATGGCTGGAATATGTCTGTCCATTGGATTTAGACCTCACTTTAATTTCACTTGGATGGTACTGCAAGGGATGCTGACCTGCCGTCCCACGTTGGCTCTTGCGCAGCCTTTTCTTCTTCTTCACTCTCCTTCCTTGCTCCTCTTTTCTAATTCACTCTCATCCACCTCACTTCTTTCCTGTCTGTTTTTTAATTATTTGTTTTGGACCTTTATCTGCACTGGTGACCAGAATTGCCTACCCTCGACTTGCCCCCCTAATACTCCCCCCACCCGAGCCTAGCTACTGAGTTGGGATTTGGGGGGTTGTAGTATTGGCTCCGGGTTTCTTTTACTCTATGACAATTCCCTTACTTAGTAATAAAACTAATTATGTAAAATTCTACATTATGGAATATCTATTATGCAATTCTATGCAAAGGGTAAATCTATTATGCAATATTATGCAAAGGGTACATACAGACAGTTGACATGCAATATATTTTTAATCATTAAAAGTGAATATCCTTCACATCATGTTTGGAAAACAATTACTGAACAATTACTGACTGATCCAAGTTGATTACAGTTCATTTAGTTTTACTTTATAAATAGATATTTTTGTAAATTAAAAATTAGTAGGATTTTTGTAAATTCCTCACCAAGATGTTCATTTGAAAATATGTACTTATTTTTTTGACCGCTAGAGGGCAGCCAACAATAATATAATACTGTACAGTATATCCAAAGCTAAAATTTTATATGCAAAAGCCAAAAGAGGGTTAAAACCTCTGTAGGTCTTTTGCATTTTTTCTATCTCTGTCCTATTAAGTAGTTTCCCATTTACTTTCTGACCTGTAAAGTCAACTGGAAACTCTCTTATTAGACAGTTACCATGGGAATAAGTCTCCCCATTGCAAGATTTTAGTTATTTTCCTGTTCTGCTGGTAAATTAAAATTTTTGGATTTACCATTACTTTCATTCCCGTGACATCAGAACATTTAGGGCCTGTTCACATGATTATCAGGTCCTGATCAGGTCCGGATCAGGTGCGGATCTGCAGACGCGGTGCAATGTGTTTTGCCGCGTTTTAGCCGCGTTTTGGCTGCGTTTTTGATGCGTTCCAGAAAAAAAAATGTTTTTTTTTTTGCTGGAGTGGGGCTGTCAGTGCGTTTTTGATTCGTTTTTACCGTGTTTTGCGTTTCCGTACCGTTTCCTGACCGTACAAAATGTGACATGCAGTATTTTTTCTGTCGTAACCTGAACGGACTGCGCACGTGAGAACTGTAGCCCATAAAACACATAGGGATACATTGGGATGCATTTTTAGTGCAGGAGCGTACGGATCAGGTCAGCACGGAAAACGGACGTAGTGTGAACAGGCCCTTAGGGAGAGTGAATCTCGGACAATCCCCCTGAAGGTCTCGTTCACACCTAGGCGTTTTGCATATGCGCGATTCGCTGTAAAAAAGTTGCGCGACCGTCACGCGTTTCCGAAGACTACTTGGCTGTTTCCCAATGGAAACGCGCAACAAAACGGCCCAAAGTAGTACATGTACCTTTTCAGGCGTGGGCTGTTTTGTAGCGCGTTAGGGACGGGCGGAAATACGCCAAGGCGGGAACGAGACCATTGGATACAATGGGATTTATATTTTTGAGCGTTTTGTAGAGCGTTCGTCGAGCGTAGAACGCGCTACAAAACGTTCAGGTGTGAACGAGGGCGAATAGCGTGTACTTTAACCAGGGGTGCGCTGGGCTATGGCTTGCAGTGGATGCACTTTTGTCTTGCGAGGGTTGTAAAGTAATTGAAAAAACGTACGATCTGCCCGTCTGGGACAGGCAGATTGTACCTGGGATCATCGCAAGCCCGCCCCCCTGAGGGCCCAGCTTCTGATGACTGCAATGCTGAACGGGCAGTGTGCGCGTGCGCACACCGGCCCGTTCGGCTGTGATCTCTCGTTCATGTTAAAAACCAGCCGAAAATCGTACGATTCTCGGCTGGTTTTCCAACATGGTCGATATACAAAAGTCGTGCGACCGTACATTAGAAACTGTTGCACGCCTTCCATACACTGCACGATTATCGTACGATTGCGGGATTTCCCGCGATTCTCGTATGAGAATCGTGCAGTGTATGGGCACCTTAAGAGTAGTACCACAGTAAAAGCATCTATTTTACTCTGGTGCTACGGGCCTCCCTCCCCCTCTTTTGGAAAAGGTAGAACAGATTCCTCCATCTGCACTTAACTGTGTGGATGGAGTAATCTCCACCTGGGCCAAGCTTCAGTATCTTGTTAGTCTGCCCCACTGGCTCCCAAAATACTTGAACAGTCTGATTGGATGCAGGCATTGTTCAGGTGTTTTGAGAGCAAGCGGGGCCGACTAGCAAGCTTGGCCCAGTGGGAGATTCCTCTATCCACACAGTTAAGTGTAGATGGAGGAATCTGTTGCACTTTTTCCATCTGACCAGAGAAAATCTGCAGATAATTGTAAGGTGTATGGCCAGCTTTAAGAAGGGAACACTCGCTTGAGACCTACTCTGTGGGTCCACAGACCCAGGTGAGCACTCCTTTGTAATGTGTGCATTCACTTGGTGAAGGATTATCCAAGAGTCTGTTATCCTGCACACTATAAAGTCAGCTTCAGGAGGACTGCTTGTGTTATTTGTACACATTGTATTGCATTGTTTGATTCGTTATCTGCACTGTATCATCATTGTTTTGGACTTTATTTTTTGTGGTTTGAGTTTAGTCTATAATCATTGTTGTATTTTTCACTGTTTATGTTTGATAGTTTTTCAGCCTGGCACATTATTGCATAAACATTTTGAATTTTGTCAGATATAATTTTAGTGCTTAGTAGCTCTTTTACACCTTTTTTGTGTTTATCACTGGCGCAGATCGTTTTTTATTTATTTTTGTTGTAATAGGATTTGTAGTTTCATCACAACTGGAGGGCCAAAGTTTGGCTACCCCTGACACAGACCCTTCTATGTGAATTCTGTGTCATCCCAAGCACATGACTGAATGAGCTCACAAGCCAAGTGTGCCTTATGCTCTTAAGGTTCATCTAAAGTCTGTTGAATGTATATGTCTGTATAGTGCTCTTCAACTTCTAGGACTTTAACTATTACATAATAGAAATAATAATCATATATATTCTAATATTCCACTACACTACACAAATGCAAGTCATAGTAATACAGTGTTGGGGTGTTGGTTGTGGTGTTCATTGGTATAACATTTGGGATAATGCAGCATTGCATTCTAAAGGAGAGTTTACCATACCCTCAGGTAATCCTGCCCATGTGTACTGTTACCCGCTCACTGTGAATGAAAAATACTTTTGATATTCTGGCCCCTGAGGAACAGAGAAAATCAAATTGATGACAGAGAAACAGGTAGCCATAGATTAATTTTGTGATAAACTTTGTGAGTGTGTGGATTGTAGTGTTGGCTTTTTCTTTACTCCAGGGGCAGGCAACTCCTGTCCTACATCTATGCTTTAACTACAAATCCCATCATGAATCTGCCTCTGGGTGTCATACCTGTAGCTCTCAGTCTTGCAATGTCTTATCGGACTTGTAGTTCGACAACAGCTGGAAGGCCAGAGTAGTCCACCCCTGCTTTACACTATGATACCATATTTACCAACTATTTCGATTTTTAAGTCAGTTGTTGCATAATGTCTGTGTCATACAAAAACACTGGAGTTCCACTGCAAACAACAACATTTTGGTCATGTTCTTAATCTATGCATGCTAATTTACCATAGGAATTTGCGTGATAATAAATGGCTTCATATGATCACTATCCTTAAATAAAAGACAGTTTTTTGTCATGATCAGTCATATTTCCAATATCAATGCCAATTTCAAGATTTCTGCCACAGTATGCAAACTTTTGAGCACAACTGTAATTCTGTGTAGAGTATATAATTTTTAACCTACATTTTGTGATTTGTGTTTCATTGCTGACTATTCCCTATCAAATGGGAAGAAGCGTGTGTTGATTATTAATATAAATATTATTTATTGTTGTTCATATTATTATTTTTTTAACCACCTCAAGACTATAGGACATGTCTATGTCCTGGTTTTGAGGTGGTTATATCAAGATCATAGCTGATGATGGTATCATTGTGATGAGGGCACCTCAGCTCCCCCCTGTCTGTTCCCCAATTTGTCTGTGATTACTAAACTAGGAAGCGCTGTGCTCTCAGTGTGTTAAAAAAATTAAGAATAATAAAATGAATGGAAATGTAAAAAAAAACTATTAAGCAACCTTGCCACTTCTGCCATCTGCATGCAAATGCGTGTGTAGGACATGCACATGGATATAAGCAGCGTTTGCGCCACACATGTTAGGAATCGTTGTGAACATTGGAGTGAGAGCAATACTTCTAGGACCATTATTTGCTGTTGCCTCTAAACTGATTAGCAGTAAAGGCTTTTAAATTGTCGCCTATGGACAATTTTGAGTAACATAATTTTTCACTTTTGCATGGGCTTGTGCAATTTTAAAGCTTGAGATGTTTGGTATCTATTTACTCAACCTGACCCCCATCTTTTATATTTTCCCCCAGAAAATAGGGTATTATATTGTGTTTGCGTGCACTAAAATTAATCTTAGTGTATTTTTTACTAAAAATAAGGATTTGATAAACATTTGCGCAAATATTGTGCAACATAAAAAGATGCTGCTACCATTTTTATTTTTTATTTTACAGGGCCTCTGCTTTCAGAAAATATATAATTGTTTTGGGGCTCAAAGTAATTTTCTATACAAAAATTCAGATTATAACGTGTGGAAAATAAAACAATTGCTCTGGTATGAAGATGGTTAATCATCCCCATTTTTGTATAGCACAACCACACTCATGGTGGCCTCCAGTGTGGGGTACTACTCTCCCGTAGAAATGAGTAGGGCTGTGTCTTTTTTTCACTGGCACAATTGTGAAATATGTGTTGGTTTTTTTTTTACATCTCTTATTACACCCTTAATTGTTTGTATGATAACTAGGCTTTTTCTGTTCCTTCATATTTGTTTTGTATAGAAAAGCTGACTTGACAAGTCTAATTTCTGCATGCACAGTATATTTGGTTTAGAAATATTTATGTTCAGAAATAAGAAAAAGAACGCAGTCTCTGAAGTGACCTGGGCTCAGTTCAAGCAGCTATGTTTAGTGAAGAGCACTGAGTCAGCACATAAGTCCTTCAGGGTTTAGCGTGTTTCATGTTCAGAGCATGCTCAGTGTGTATGTGTGTGTCATACTTTATTTCCTTCTCTTATTACTCTTGAGTCCTGTTTTACTCTATTTACGTGTTTAGTTTCTTAGATCCCTGCACACGTTTTTAGACCTTTGACCTATTAAGAAGAAAAGCGAGGGAAACCTGTTGGCTTAAAGAATTTAAATGATAGTAGCAGGCACAGGAATTCCCTGTCTGTGAAAACATTGCGGTAACGTGTCTGTATTTTTCGCAGTTTTTTTCGCTGTTTAGGAAGTGAAGCAATATTTGTATTCTCTTTGTCTCCAGGTATGTTTCCAGTTGCCCGGATTCAATCCCTTCCTTCCAATTCGAGAATTCAGCTGCAAACTTAATTCAGCCAAAAAGTTTATGTGTTGTGGCAACTGCGAGCTGGCTGGATGTCTTGACAGAGTTGTAAATACAAGCTTCGTCCTCAGTTCACTCATGATGTGCTTGTTACAGATCTTCTCTCTCTGAGAAAACGCTTGGATTAGGTCAGTAAATGTTTTCTTTTTATATGGTTTTAATGTAACTTTTGCAGGGAGTCGTAAAGAGTTAATTGTTCACTGGAAAGAAAACTAAGTGGTTTAAACATTCTTTGACAAGTACAAAGGGCAAAGAAACTAAAGGGAATCAGGGAAATTATATTATTTATTATTATAAATAGCCTAGCCTCAACCAGTATTGTCTGTGTAATCTACAGGCTATTGCAGGTATGTCAACTCTACATTGCTTGTCTATCTCATTATTATGCTTGACATAGGGTAGACCTAAGCTAGCCATGCATTGCTAGATTTCTCTTGTTCAGCCTCATGGACTGAATGAAGAAATCCCTTGATTCCCCCATCCATGGTAAACCGCATGGATGGAGGAGTCTCGGTGGAATCCACGGCTGTCAGAATACCCCAACAGTGACTGCATGTGATTGAATGCAGTCACCGTTCGGCCAAAATTTGAGCCGCGTATGGTCAGCTTATGCTGCCCAATATTAATGGCATATTTAAATTTTTCAGTGCATTGCACTGAAGTGACACTAAACTTAGTTAAACCAGTTAGTCAAAACATAAAAATACATTCAAGTACCTTAACTATTAACAAAAATGTATTTTATTTGTGTATCACTTGGCTGTAGATCCTCAAATCATCTCTGAATTGGTGCTGACACTGTCCTTCCTTCTGTAGGGTGGCTACTTTTGTTCCCCATGGTCCCTGTGTGCGTTGTAAAGTAGCCAATGCTCCGAGCTCGTTTCCGTGATGGACTACAATCTTAAAACAAATAAGTAAACTAAATGTAAAAATTGTAGTCATCACATGAGTGACTTGATGCGGTGGCTACTTTACAACGCACACAGGGACCATGGGGAACAAGGAAGCACCGTTTCAGCACAAATTCAGAGTTGATTTGAGGATCTACAGCTGAGTGATGTATAGATAAGATACATTTATGTTAATAGTTAAGGTACTTTAATGCATTTTTCTGATTTAATTCCTGAGTTTAGTGTCACTTTAAGACAGTCCATTGAGCAACTTAGTGTACTGAAAATTGGCCATAGCCTATTTTTTCCAACGCAAGGCACGGTAATGTGTTTGTGGCGTGCTTCAACACAGGTTTGTTACCTTGATGGGTAGGTACACCAACGCAGCAATGGATGTAACACGCATTGCCACATGCTACCACAATGCAGTAGTGTAAATGCCCCCTAAGGCAAGTCAGATTTGAGTAATGTTAGAAAAAATTGGGTTTGTAGCGGTTTATTTAGAAATAATAAAACACTTTGGAGAAGACGCCTGTTACAGCAAGGAGGACTAACAAATGATTGATTTCAATTCCATTTGAAATGTTCAGACTCTTGGAAGACTTACGATTGGCCTTCTTGCAAATATTTTTATAAAAATGTATAACACATTTTAAACTGATGTATGACACTATCATTGTGGAATCCAGCTATAAAGAGCAGTGGAATCATGGCAAGGTGTGTTGTGAGCTGTTTTAATATTAATTTGTTTTCCATGTGTGTCTTTCAGCTCTCTGCGAGTGAGTTTCAGCCATGGCTGTAAGCAGTGGTATCTCTGCTATACGTAGGGTGGCTATATTTGGAGGCACCCATGGAAATGAACTCACTGGAGTTTTTCTAGTTAAGCACTGGCTAAAGCATGGAGGGGAGATTACCAGATCGGGTTTGGAGGTGAGACCCTTTATTACCAACCCAAAAGCTGTGGAGAAATGTGTTAGATATGTTGACACTGACCTGAACAGAGTTTTTGACAATCAAAGTCTTAGGTAAGAAAGCTCTATGTTTTCTTCTGTCTTTCCCAAAAACACAAACGTATTCTAGTAGTATTGATGTATGTAGATTAAATGTGGTGCAATTTTTAATATATTCATGGACGGCCTCCATAATCAAAATATAGGATATAAGTAGAATGTCTGTTGCTTCATAACCAGGACTTGACAAGAGAGCCAAGCCTTGTTTTGTGTTCCTTGTGGCATGCACTAGTAGACCAAAACTGCTATAGTTCACCAAAACGGCTCACTACTAATGACCTATTCACACTTTTGGGCTTTGCTGCACTTTAGCATAATCCTTCTCCCAAAGGATACAGCAGGACACAGCCAGTATATACTGAAGGCGATGGAGGGAAATCACACTGCTCTACTACAGCGTTGAAGAAAAAAAAAGATACATGCAAAAGGCTTCAACATGCTTTAAAATGCATGCAAACCCACTATGAAATTGCATTTATTTCATGTAAACAAGCCCCAGCAGAACAGATTTGGTCTAGATATATTCAGTGGCAACATTTTAAATGTAGAATAACTGTTCTCTTTATTTCTGGTGTAATACACAACAAACAAACAAACAGGCACTGGATGAAGATCATGTTCAAGAGCCAGTATTAAAATCCTGGTAGTATTGTACTTTGTTCATATCATTAAGAGATATGAGTTTATCAGTACCTCCCAGAGGAGCCACTTGATATTGGGTCCTTCTACCGCCCTACAGTTATAACCAACTCTGTACCCGGACTCGATAGATACCAACACAACGGTTAACAGTTAAATGGGTTTTATTTAAAGAAGAAAAAGCCCTGTAAAGGAAGTCTGGTTGGGTTGGATAATAGTTTTAATAAAAATACACATACAGTATTACAAGACACATTTACAGGTGCAATCGAGCTAAAACTAATCATTACCCACAACCGCCTGTGAAATAACTGTTTCAGAGCACACGCTATAGGTCAAATAGGTCTTTCACCAAACAGGAACCCCAATGATGTCCCTCTGGGAGCAGTCCCATCCTGGATGATTTCTTCCACACTCGGAATGGAGATAGATTGTAACTATGCTGCAGCTCCTGGGTGGAGTCAAGCAAAAAGGCAGCCTGCAGCCCAGAGACTTCCTTTACCAGCCTACCCTTGGTTAATGATCCTCTTCCTGTGGCTACATCCTGTATTTCTTGGCCAATAAAGATCTGAAGGGGGGCTGTAGCCAGCCCCTACAAAGCTCACCTCTCTGCAGCAGCTCTGTCTCTCAGGGTTCTATGCAGCAACATACTCTGCTCACCGGTCTCTCTCCTAGCAATCTTGTGGTGCTCTGTCCCTCATCCACCACAGCACGGACTGATGAGCACCTCTCTCTAGCTCTGGACACTCTGGGAGTTGTAGTTCACATAGCCCTCCTCAGCCCAGGACTGCACCACCCAGGGAACTACATCCACCAGCAGCCCCTGTGCCCATTATTCTCCATCATCCAGTGGGCAGGACTACATTTCTGGCCAGTGACCACTGAGAGTCCTTCTCTCTCTCTTCTGTTTTTAGGGGTGGGCTTTAGTCCCAGGCTTCAGTTGCATCCAACCACCATCCTTCCTTGCTCCTCTCCTCTCCCAGTGCTCTTGTCAGTCTTTGTGGGGAGGGGGCAATGACCTGCTGTTTGGAAAATGTTCTGCTGCACAACTTAAAGGGCCAGCAGAAGTGAGGCTACACTGATATGGGTTGCTTTTCTTACACACCCTCACTGGGCTTTAAACTGCCTTTTTGAATAAGCAGCTAAACATAGATCAGTGAGTTTTAAGCTGTTATATTGCACCAAGTATGATGGAGAGAACTAAGTATACATGAAAACTTGCCACTGAGATAAATTAAACTTAGGACACCGTTAACATGAGATGATTCAGCCTACAGTGGGTGTATATTGATGAACATTCCTAGGTCTACCAATCTTTGGGGAAGATTTAATCTCCCAGCTTGTATCCTCTCATCTAAATAATTCTCTGAAGATTACATTAACACTAGGGTTGCCTGGTTAGTGCATAAACATGCTCAGCTCAGGTGTCTGAGAGTTCCTTTAAACACCAGCATTCCACATAATGATTGGCCACTGTTCCTTTCCATTATAATTTTATATCTGTAGACACCTAAAGCTAATAAAGGCTCAATTTTTCGTTGTTAGAGAATATTCGTTTTTTCAAAAAGTGGGTCATCAACATGAACTGTCATTCTTCCACACCAGGCACTTTCATAAATGAGGCTGAAAATATGGAAGAGGTTTCACTATGAAGCAATGTGTACTTGTGGTCTAAAACTGCTTAGCTAGAAAAGTGCATTTTGCTTTGAGAACATCAGACTCTGCGTCTGTTTGTTTTGAGAAGCTTATATATCAACCAACCCAGACGGCACAGTAAAGGATAAACCGCTGAGTGTTTGTCCCCTCTCCATAGCTGAGGCATGGGGAGGGAACAGAATGTTCCTCTTCACTGGAAATGCCCACTGACATTTCTGTGTGTTGTTCACTGTTGGTGGGATTGTGCTGACTCATTCTGGCTACGTGCCTGATGTTTGGTCTCTGGCACTTACTCAATGGATTTACTTTTGTTACATTATCAGAAGTGTTTCTGCTTCAGGATTTCCCAACGCAGCACTGCAGTACACATGCATCTGGAGGCAGCGTGATCCTTGTGTGCACAAAATGTGTTTGCCTACCAGTTAAGATTTCCATTTCTTAGACACTGCATTATTAAAATGACAGCAGCAATCTCACTGGATGCTGAGAACAACCAATTCATTTAATTTGTTAGACACAAGGCTTATTGTCTAGGTCAGCCGTTCTCAACCAGGGTGCCGTGGCAACCTGGTGTGCCTTCTGACTTCCTCAGGGGTGCTTCATATTTTGTAGTAGTGGGACTGTGATGTGAAGGGGAATGAAGACTGAGGGGAAGGGGGCTCCTGAATTAAAGGGGGGACTCTGATATGAAGAGGGCCGGAAATCTTGATTTTGAAGGGGCACTTCAATGTGAAGGGGGAAACCCACTTTTTGTGTGTTTTTTTTTTTTTTTGTGTGGGGTCCCCCTTTTAAAATCTGACATTTTAGACTGGGGTACCTTGAGATTTTGCATACTTTTAAAGGATGCTGTGACTAAAAAAAGGTTGAGAACCCACATAGATGGAGAGTCCTGCTGACTAGTCACTGTTACATTTCACTGCAGAGCTGTCACATTTCAGTAATCTTAAAGAGACTCTGTTTCTTTTTTTACATGGGGGGATTGCTAGCTTGTATTATTTTCCGTATACAGTCTCTGCACAAGCAGTTATTTATTTGGAGAGAACAATAGAAATTACATCTAAGCTGGCATTGCGGGCACTTGTATAGGCAGGCTAATATTCTATGCAATGTTGTGGTCTGTCTAGATGATAGACAATTAAAGCAGAACTCCAGCCAAAAATAAGATAAACATGAATAACTTTTTAAAATATATACTGTGTAATCAACAGAGAGTTGAGTTGCTTGTGTCCTCTTCTCTCCACGGAGCTGGGACTAATGGTCACCACTCTGTAAAGCATAAATGATCCAAAAAGTCACTGCACTCATCTTTTCTTGCTCAATTCTTTATGTTTTTTTCAGCACACTGTAGATGGAAATGTACTTTATATCAAGAATGGACAAGAAAAGATGAATGTAGTGGTAGTAACTATAATCTATTAGAACTAACCAATATTTTGCTGCAATATTAACCTTTACTCAAGAGATTTGCTCTGTAGTACTTTTTTTCTGCCACTAGATGTCCTCAGTCTTTCAGTCTAATGGCACACATCATTCAATGTAATTCCTTAGGGCCCAGGCAAGGATCTCAAGTCTCCCTGATGTTCAGGGAGTCTCCCTCTATTAGATAGCGGCTCCCTAATGTCCGCGAGAGAGGCATTTTCTCCCTGAAAGGTTTACTCTGAGTAAACCTTTCCGGTAAGATATCAGTGGTTAAAGTTTCAGAGTGAGGCTTGCCTCCTGGAGGAAGGTCATGTGATCTCTAGAGTAGCCTCAGAACGAGGCTTGCCTCCTGGAGGAAGGTCATGTGATCTCTAGAGTAGCCTCAAAACGAGGCTTGCCTCCTGGAGGAAGGTCATGTGATCTCTAGAGTAGCCTCAGAACGAGGTTGGGCTCTCTTGCTGCACAGAGAGGGCGGACATAGACTACTATTGAGAGCAGGTACAGGCACTGAGATCTACTGCTGCATGGTTGAGATAGTGTTGTTAACCCTTTGTGGATAATATAGAATCAATTATATGTCCTGGTTGTCTAGTTATAGAGAACATTTATTTAATTTGCTGCCCATAGCAGCTAGTCAACTGTGTATCAGAGACTTCACTCCTCAGCGTTTTTTTAAAAAGGTCTCGGGCTGTCTAATAAATTGTGACCTTTACACTGACAGATACTTGAACAATGAACATCAATTCACAAATCTGATGTATATATAAATAAATATATAATATTATTGTATATTGGTATATGGATTTTATATATGGATTTTATTTTACTGTGTGTGTGTGTGTGTGTTTGTGTGTGTGTGTGTGTGTGTGTATATATATATACTGTATATATCTCATTATTATTTCTTTTATATTTCGACAACGTCCGCTGTAAAAAAAAAACAGAAATGGCACCTCCCTGAAATAAGGTTTTGCAGGTTGGGATGTCTGGGCCCAGGTCATCCTGGGCAAGCCACGGGACCAGCATGTGACTGGACAGTGAAAGAGAAGTTGTTCAATGATGAGCTCATCTCTTTGTCACTCTATTTTCTCCTCTTATTAGCATGCTTCTTGTCAGCACACAAACCGATTGGTTCCTTGTACTGCTTCTTCCTCTCACACTCCAGATCTGCAATACAGGGAGTGCAAGAGGCTGATACCAGGTCAAATCCAGCTACTTGTACCGGATGGATTTAAAATACATTTAATGATGTATTAAAGTAACGCTAAACTTAGGAGTTAAACCTAGAAAATACATTCAAGTATCTAACTATTAACAAAAATGTACCTTATTTATATATCCGTGCTGACACTGTCCCTTCTGGAGGGTGGCTACTTTTGTTCCCCATGTCCATGTGTATTGTAAGGTCGCCACCACTCCAAGCTCACTCCAGTGATGGGCTATATTTTCAATACAGCATTACAGTATATTTACATCAGTAAACTAAATGTTAGATTGTAGTGTATCACGGGAGCATTTGACCCTGTTGGACACAACTAAATTTATGTACTACCACACTGCAGCGCAATTCAATCTCGTTTCTAGCAGAAATTTGACAGTGTATGGCCAGCCTAAAGATGGTGGTTATATGCCTCTGTGGGTGAACTCTAGGCAGATCTGAACATTTCACAAATGAACATAGCTCTCCAATCATTAATACATCATTAAATATATTTTTTAATGCAAACAGTTAAAGTACCTGAATTTGACCTGTTATCACCCTCTTGTAGTCTATTCTACAGTCTGTAAAGAAGAACTCAGAGAGGTTGAGACCATACATGGCTCCAATTTTAGGGAGAGAAGCTCATATGGAGCCAGTTTTGGTTGTGCCACAGTGTGAGGATCACGCTGGTGGAAAGAGAGGGCAGAGTGAAAGAGAAATGAGCTCATCAATGTGCTGCTTCTTTTACTGTCCAGTCACAGAGTGGGGAGAGGACATATAATTAAAAGTGAAACTACAGCAGAGACAGATAAGGTCCCCTCGCTTCTAGAAAGAGCTGTGTGGTATAGGAGAGCTGTGTAAAGTTGAGGACAGGATAGACAACAATGCAAATCCTGTGTGAGGTTAAAAAAAAAGCTCTCATATTTAAATTATTTACCAGCCATGTTACATGATTAAAGACGGAATCCCATCTGCTTTACAGGTAGCACTATCATCGGACTTTAAAGTCCATCAATCGACAGCCTGCAAAGAGGGAGAAATCGCTGATGGCTGTATGTTATAATTAAGAGTTGTATGGGACTTCTCAGAAGACTTTTCACTGCCCTTGCCCTTTAAGTTTATTTTTATTTACATTTAGGGTCCCAAGATGGCCAGACATCTAAAGGCAATAGGTCTTTTTGTATAGGTGTAGGTCCCTTATATAAAGAATGAAGTACTATGTTGTTTAAAACATGTCTTTCTGTGAATGTTTGCTTTTATTCAACATATTGGTACATGTGAGCATTCTGTGTGCTTATTTTGCAGTTTACAAAACAAAGTAAAAATACCCTATGAGATAACACAGGCTCAGGAGATCAACTCTATATTTGGTCCAAAAGGGAGTAAAGATGCCTATGATGTTATCCTGGACCTTCACAACACTACCTCTAAAATGGGGGCGACGCTGATCCTCGAGGATTCCAAAGATGAATTCACAATTCAGATGTTCCATTACATTCAGGTAAAGGCTTGTCAAAGGGGAGCATGTGAATCCCTAATTTAACGCACATGAAGGTGGAAAGATAGTCCTCAGCCCCTTGTAAATGACAAACAATTGAACCTGCTAACCTATTAAATAAAGATACATTTACACAGGTGCAGAGGGCTGTACATTGTATTATCGTGTTTGGAGTGCCCAACTGTTTACCATAAGCTGTGGCTGTCCAGCCTGTAGAAGTCAATGATAGGTTGACAGGCTCTGCAGCTGTCCATGGCTGTTCACATGTATTTAATCAAGGAACGAGTGATAACAGGGAAGGGGGGTTGAAAAGAAATTTTATTTTTTTATGCAAATTACCATTTTCTGGTCATAAGGAGGGATTAGGATCAGGTTTGCAGCTTTAGATCCAGTGTGTATGAAATTTGCGTTCCTGCATATTAATGTGGAAATGAACCAAAATGAATTCTTTGCAACCAAAATCAACTGCCTGTCCTTTGAACTTAGGTCACTCAGCTTAGGAAATGTAAAAAATGCCACCCAGATGGAAATGCAACAGCATATTGAGATGTAACTATGTCTTTTGAGCACTAGATGGTGCTGTAGTGCAAAGCTAGTTTTTCCTTATGCATTTTTTTATCTATGATCTACATGTTTCCTGTTTGATGCTGTAATCCTGTGTACATGTATGCAATGTTCTTCTAAGCATGTAAAACTTAATTCTGATCTCAAGTTCAAGATCTCAACTCAAGATCTCAGTGCTTCATCTAAACACATAACCAACAAGAAGGGCCAATATGGGGACTTCTGGATAATCCAGCCCCCTCCCTATGAAAGGTTAGGTTACAATTGTGGTCTATTATATTTTTTGTGTTATTAGATTATAAGTTAGAGTGATTAGGTCCTTATTTGGGGAAAGGTGAGCCGCCTATGGCTGTAGGATTATGTGTTTAATATTTGCTGCTGTTTGCTCTTCTACGTGGCTGTATAATATTTTACCCTCCAGTTGCTGCTGCCTGGCTTTCCCCGTGTGTGGTGGCTGTAGGTTTCCCCCCTGCAACTATGCTTCCCGTGCCCTGACTATAAAAAAAAAAAAATTGGCTGCTTAGAGCCTGTATGGAAAAGATCATGCTGGCAGAGCCAAGGGATTGTAAACTTGCCTGCATTTAAACAAACAAAAAAAATTAAAAGATATAAATATATATGAAAATAAAGATGACAAAAAATAAATAAATAAATAAAATTTCTCTCACACCCACATGAACAGGATCCTGTCCCCACTTTAATTTCTTTTCTTTTAATTTTTTGCCATTTGGCACAGGCTCTCCATAGCACTGCCAAGCTTTCCATGCCTATTTTTTTAGAGTAATTTGCCTATTACCCTTAAAGGTAGTCAGAATCTACTAACATGATTTGACCTCCTTCCCTCAAGACTTTAATGCGATTTGCTGCTGAATTCGGATTTCGCAAATCTCCAAACAGGATGTGACAAACCCCCCTGCAACTCAAACTCAGGCAGGTTTGCCCATCCCTAGTGGTAAAATCAAGATCAAGACAGTGCAATGCATGAAGGTTATTTTGCACTACTGCCTTATGGTTGACAGAGCCCTTGACAAACAGAGATTTCCACTTGCAAAGGCCAACAGTTTATTGAGTTTTTAAGGAGAACAAGTATAAATAAATGTTTTCTTTTATACGGAGGGGGGAAAGGTCCGCTTTAACATCCCATTACCTTTTTTTTTTTTTTTTTTTTATGCAACGAAAACAAACCCAGAATGCTATAAAGGCTTATTGATGTTTAATGACCCACTGTATGAGCCAATGATCCAATACAAAACAGTTTCAACACTTATTTGTAAGTAGGAATGCTATGAAACTCAATACTCTGTGCCAAGGACTGCACTTGGCTATTACCACACAAATGCAAGCTGCAATATACTTTTAAGGCAGTCTACTTGACATTTGAGATTTTAGGACCTAACAGAATGAGAGAATTAAATGTGTGTTACTTCTAAAATGTTTTTTTTAATCATTACTGCATTTTCAATGTAACTTATCCAAAAATAATATACACATTTATTTTCATTTTATTACAGAAAACTATGGCTCCTGTACCTTGCTCTGTACTGCTCATTGAACACCCGAAAATAAAATATGCAACTACACGCTCCATAGCAAAACATCCTATTGGTAAGTTATATCAGATGTCACAATATCATTTTCCCCCTATAGTATGTTAAAACAGGGTCTAGTGGTGTCATCTATGCCCTGAAGAGCATATCAGAAATGTATATTTGGCTATAGCACATGGTATGGAAAGCTTATGCAGATTTGTGTAAAGAATAATAAAAGCGATTATAAAGGACACAGGTTTTTCTAATCTTCTCTTCAGCAACAGCTTGACACACTTGACTATTTGGTAAACCTATACGCAAAGCTCCAGGCACTGCATCCCAACCATTATTACCCTACCCGCAGCTAACATGTCCACCCAAATGTTGCATTTTCATTGAAACTAAAATACATTTTGTAATTTCCAAACACTTTTTATTTTTTTCTTGTAACAGGCATTGAAGTAGGACCACAACCTCAAGGTGTTGTTCGAGCAGATATTCTGGAGAAAATGAGGGAAATAGTATTACATGCTCTTGACTTCATGCAACAGTTTAATGAGGGTAAAGTTTCCTTACATAAAATATTAGAGACTGTTTCAGACTTCAGGTCCTTATAGGCAGGGCTATAGTTTTACCTATTTTTAGTTTTAGTATCTGTTTCATTATTTTAATATATTCTCACTAGATAGTAAAGTGCTGTAGAATATGTTAGCACTATATGTATTTATCTGTATTTAGCATACAGTCAAAAGCTCATTGTGATAATTGTTTTATATCTTTCATTGCCCTAATTACTAGCTTGCCTTGATTCCTAGCTTGACTTCTGACCAAAAATGACCTGAGTGTATATATATGTATATGTGATTATAAGAACGTTAGGCTGTAATTTTCTTTAGGGCAGGAGTTGATTTGAATAAACTGTGCACCCTGTAAAGACCAGTTGAATTGGTCAGCATGATACTTGAATAAAATATATAAATAGACAATACCACACAAATCTGGCCATTGGTCCTGGTTATATTGCTCTTTGTTGTAGTAATAGGCACTATGCCTGTCACAAGGGTTTCTATTTCCCGCTCCTACATGACTTGCTTACCAGATCACAAGATACAGAGAGCACATTGGCATACCTCCCAACTGTATCTCATGTGGAACCATGTCCCTCTTTCCTCCTCAGTTGTCCCTCTTTTTGGTCTGATGCACAGATACATACATTTTGTATTCTGCATAAAACCTTCATCCTATCTTTATCTTATTGCTTAATTATCTTGTTTCATATTTCAAAAAAAGGGTAAAAATGAAAAGTAATGGTGAAAAAAACAAACAATTCTGGGTTTAACCAGTCATTCATCTGCATAACTGGGGGGTGTGGTAGGGCTGAGTTCATTGCCTTAATGCATTGTACTGGAAGGTATCCCTCTTTCTCATCTCAGAAAGTTGTGAGCAATGCATTTTTAGGAAGCACCCATGGTTATAACTTTTTGGCTTTTTTTAAAGGACAGCTCCTGGAATGAAAGCAGATGTGCTGAAATATTGCGTGTCAGATTTTATGCCCTCTGCCAGGAAGCTGAAGAACATAAGGTTCTGTAGTACATTGTGCACTAGGCATTAGATCTTAGACAGTTCTTATGGGTAAGACATTGAAGGACCTGCCTAACCTGGTTCTAAATTTTCAAGTATTAAAAGTATCTGCAATATTGGTGCAAGATGGGAGCTGTATTAGGAATGCATATTTTGAAATAGTAAAAGTTGTTTAATTGGTGGCCTTCATTAATCCTGGTATCTGGCAAAACATTGCCCTAATAAGAAAAGCTAAACTGGACTCTCTACTGTTTTTCTCATCATTGTTACTTTGTCCATTTTAATATTTTTACTTACCTCCAGGTTCAGAATTTCCATCATGTAGTATTGAAGTGTTTAAAGTGATAGAGAAGAGGGGCTACCCCAGGAATGAAAATGGTGAACTTGCTGCTATTATTCATGAAAGTCTTCAGGTGAGCCTTACTTTCAAATCTTCACTGGGATCAGTAGGCCCTAGAGGCAGAAACATGTGGTTTACCTAGTAGTATTTCATTAGAACTGAGGAAGCCACTAGGATAAATGGCAGAATGTCTTCAAAATTACATAACATGTAGTCTTGCTGAATGTGACTAACTAATACTATACTAGGTTGACTCTAAGGGGTTGATTTACTAACCTTATAAACACACCACGAACATGTATACACCTCTGTAGTGTGTTCCCTCCCAGCATGATCTATGGGTGGAATCTAAACACCTTTTGTAGTGTGTACACACCCAGCAGGTGTGTTGTGCAAAGCCAAGCATGAATTGCAAGGTGATGTTGTGTAAATTAGCTCTATGTTGTGTTGCTTGCGTTGATGAATGCAGGAATGTAAATGCATGAGCTAACCATTTTTGTCTAAACTGTGAAGCAGCATTATATATGCATCATGTGCATGATTTTTCCATATATGGCATTAGTGGAAATATGCTTTTAGAGACTTTTTGGTTGATAAATACGTTTTGCTGTGTGAAAATCACACGCACCTGGTGCGTGCGTATGTTTTAGGTTAGTAAATCACCCCCCTAAGTGTAAAATTTGTATTTGGAAGCTGTCGCTGTGAACTCTTATGAGCTCCAAGGAGCTGTATGTGCAAGTAAAGCAGACCATCATTACGCAGAGTGTGAGGAAGAGCAAAAACATTAAAGGTGGCCAAATTAACAAAAAAACAGGAATGCACTGATGAGCTCAGCATTACCAAATTGCATGGGCAACCACAAAACAAAACAGAATTCCTTAGAGCATATAGAAAAGTCCCTTCACAACACTAGGCAACTCAGGAATACTCTCTAGGAGGTAGGCATATAATTATCAAACTCATGAAAGTAAATACAGAGGGTAGACTACAAGGTGCAAACCACCAGTAAGCCTCAAAAAAGGGAGGGCCAGATAACAAACTGCCCAGTTCTGGAACAATATGCTTTAAAACAGGTATAATTAAGATCAACATGAATGATGGGAAAAGAAGAGTATGGTTGAGGGAAGGAATGGTTCACGTTCCGAGGCATACCACATCATCTGTGAAACATAGTCAAGGCAGCGTTATGGCATTGGCATGTATGGCTATCAAATGGAAGTCAGTGGAGTCACTAGTGTTTATTAAATATATGACTATTGCATAGGGCTATACAACCTATTTAGATTCAGGCAAATGCTGCAAAACTCATAGGACAATGCATCACAATACAGATGGACAATGACCAAAACAAAGTGTGCAACAACCCAACAGCATTTGAAGGCAAAGAAGCAGAATAGTCTTTAATTATATAATAGTATGCCCATTGGCTCATGGGCCCGGAGAATGATAGAAGGAGGACAATTTAAAAAAAATGGGTGAACTTCCTAAACTGCTTATATGATATCTATGTGTATACTGAGTGCACGTTTTGACAAAATTATAATTTTGTACTATTTATGCTCAAAGCTAGGTATCTTCAGTCAGGTTCCGGTATAAAAAGCCAGATATTAATTTTGGTCCCCCTAATCCCGAATCTTCATTATGTATCTGTAAAAAATAAGTCAAGGCAACTGGACTTGCTGTATTTTTCTTGAAGTTTAACTGATCATCCAACCACCTGTTTCAACACCTCTCTCTGGGCAGGTTAATAAAACCTCCTAGCTCCAATTATGCAAATGCATTCAACACCTGGTTGCGATTAACAGATGATGTGGATTGGAGCAACATTCACCATATTTATTCCCGGAGAATTTTTGTACAAGTCGTTCTGAATTGAGAAAGCTGGTTGGATGACCAGTGAAACGTCTTTAAGAAAAATACCGCAAGTCCAGTTGCTTTGACTTATTTTTTACAGATCTACCACGATGACCTGGATGAATGAGAACCTTCACAGACTTCTTCATTGTGTGTCCTTAACTGCTCTGTTAAGCTGCCAAAAGCTAGAGAGACAACTATGTGTAAACTAGGAATAGCTCAAGTTGTAGCTTACACATACGGACAGCACTGGCACCACCATACTCAGAAGTAGCTACTTTGCTCCTGGCATCCGAATGGAGCTATTGGGGAACAAAGGAAAGGAAAGTTTTATACACTGCAGGGAATGTAGGATATAAGGCAAACTTATTTATTTGCCTTGCAATGCAGACACCTTAATGACCTAATGAGTGGCACTTGCACTGGTGACTGGTTGTAGAAGGCTGAAGTAATGGCATGTATACTATAGGCTTATTTTGAATAAAATAGATGAAGAGTTCCTTCTGATCTGAAAGTGAAACCCTCACAACTAGTATACAATATGAAATATATACGTTGACCCTTTGCTTTCAATTGAAACAAATTGAACATTCAGTTTAAATCAGCTAAATGCATTCCAGGTACATAAAAACAAAAGGTGTGCAAAGTCTTTGTTTCCTTAGTAGAAAAGCATGTGTTCTGCCAGTAGGCAGCAAAACAAGACCCTTATTCTCTGTGGGAAAGTAGTGGTCTCTTTACAGCCTCCTGACATGCCCCCTGTTAAGCTAGAACTAAAGCTCTACAATCAGCAGGGAGCATTAGCTTTGCACTGATTTGGGTCTGACTCATCAGGAACCTCTGCAATGAAACCACTGCTTTCCCTTTCCATTTAGGCGGGGTATGCTTTAGAAATAAAATTAACTGTAAGACATTGAACACATTTTGTTTTGATGCACCTGGAATGTATTTAGCTGATTAAAACTGTGATTGGGCTTTAATACTATTCATCAGTAATCCTGATTTATTATTCCTTTTATATATTACAGGACCAAGATTGGAGAGCTCTGAACCCAGGGGATCCTATGTTTATTACAATGGATGGGAAAGTCATACCTTATGAAGGAGAGCACACCGTGTATCCAACATTTGTGAATGAAGCGGCATACTTTGAGAAAAATGAGGCCTTTGTCACAACACAGAAGCTTACATTATCTGCAAAAAGTGTTCGGTGTAAATCTATATAAAATAATATTATTAAAGCCATATGCTCAGGTTGCTTACTTGTATGTACAATTTCTTATCATAGGCTGATTGTAATTTGGACTGTGTGCAGTATAGTGAGAAAAAAAAGGCCATTCAGAAGAATAGGGGATGAGAATCTAGGTAAATTTTAACTAGGAAATTATGTATGCTTACAGATTGAAACTGATTTGGATTCTTCAGTGTTCTAACTCCTACTTCATTATGCAAACTAAGAGCTCATGTTTACAGGTATGACTCTATTGTCCCTGCAGTATGCTTTCTGGTACTCCTGGTTTGCTTCAGTTTACCTATGCATTGCTCAAGGTGTTGGCATGAGCTGCTTCTGAGTTGCCTGATGTTTTTGACATTCAACTGGCATGTTACCAGAACTTTGTGGTGTACAATTATCGCTAAAAGTCCAGACATAGAAACAACTGCCCTTTTTTAAATAGAGCTCTAAAACTTGTTGCCAAATGTTAAAATTGATGATGAAATAATCCAAGGTTTAAATAAAATAGCTGCTAGTGGTGTATAGTATTTTAATATCCATTTTATTGAGCATAGTATTTAATCGTGGACTATAATTTGTATACACATCCCAGATAGCAAGGATAACTTGCTACAAACTTGTGGCAGGGTGAAATTGTAATTTTTGTTAACTTGCAGCACACATTCCTGGCAAGTTGTAGACTTGCAGAACACTTGCAGCACAAGTTCTAGTTGACACTTTTTGAATTTGTAGCAAATTTGCTTGGCCAGTCTACAGCAAGAGTCCTGCAGGTCTTAGCAAGAGCTCTGCAAGCTCACTGGTCTGGAGACTTGCAATGCAGACTTGCTGTAATTGTGCAACAAAATTGTGAAGCTTGGCAAGTCTGCAATAGTGTAGCAAGTCATTTTCAAACTTCCAGCTCAATTGCTTGCTATCAGGGATTGACTGTATGAAGTGAAAAGTAGTTCGGATGTAAATAAATGCCCATTTTAATGAGCCTTAAAGTGTATTTATTTGCTGTAGAAAGTCTTTCTTATTCTTCAGTTTATGTGAAGAAGCCTCTGTCAATCAGCTAAGCTGTGGTCATTGCTTCCTGGGTGTGGCTGTCAGAGAATCAGCTTGTGCATGTACCTTTAGGAGGTTTTACATGCCAGTGTTTGCTTTGTCGGCAGCTTTTATAGTGGTCCCATAAGATAATTCACGCAGGAGGATTGCTTCGCTAGCCCTAGAGAGAGACCATATAGGGCTTTGGTAGCCACCCTTTATACAAGAGAAAGATTTTATACATGATTTATTCTGCATAAAGGAAAGCCCATGGGCAAACTTGCATATGTATCTGTGGACACGAGAAGGTAATGCAGATTATTATTTTGGTTATACCTAAAATTAAACAATCAACTGGAAGAGTTGAATGTCAATAAATTCTGAATGATCTCAGAAGCATTTTAAGGTGATGTCAAAAACAACTGACACAAGTCCAAAGCCCCTTGACACTAAACATTTCGTTTTCATCATTTTGCATCTCTTGCCACTGATCTCCATCAGCCTTTTTCAGCCACTCCTGTCTACTTATAACTGCTGTCGGCTGCAGATCATTGCTCTAAAATGGCTTTCTGATGGTATCAATGGATTGTGCCTTTGTAATGTGTGTTGGCACAGGCACTTTTAGTTTCCTTCATGGCAGGATCATCGGGTATTATTTTATTGAAAGCTGCAGATTTTTATAAATAATGAAAACAACTTTTTATATTACAATAATATGTTAAAAGTTCAATACGATTGTAGTGGTTGGGATTATATCTGCTTTAAGGCCTGATGTATCAAATCGTTCTTACTAAGCATTGGATTTACTTTCCCTCAGCACATATATAATTGGCCCTAAGTAGGTTTAATGTCCAACATTTATCAAAATTGACATTGATGTTTTCGATCTTAACCTGTCAAATAAACTTTTTGTGTGAAGCAATAAAACGTGCACCAGGCCTGACACTCAGGCTAGGTTCATCCTTAGGCGATTGAGCCTACGAGCTGTTTTCATGCGGTTACCCCACTTTTTTTTTTTCTTGTGTGATTCTGTTTTGAAAGTGTATAGACATTTTGCTTTCAGTGCACAGAGATGCCTATGGGACCACAACTGCGCGACCACCACCCAAAAATAGCTCCTGCACCTTTTTGCATGACAGGCGATTTCGTCCGTGTGACGCAACACAATGGTGTGAACAGGCCCCTATTGACTTCAATGGGAGTCTGTGTTTTGCACTGGGTGTGAACGTACCCAAATTCTTACAGATTAATTAACATTCCTGCAATCTAGAAGGCAGAATGCCAGTCTTCACAGAGCAAAAAACAGACGTCCGAGTTTCACCAGTGATGTGCAAAGTCACACAAGCTCTTTCTTCTACAGTGAAAGCCCCATTACCAATTACCATTATTCATTAACACTTCAAAACTGTATTTAGAAAATATATTTTTATTGTTTTTGGCATTGCAATAAAATAACTTACTCTTTTTAAATAATTATGTAACAATTTTCAAAATAAATATATTGAACAAAGAAATACAAAGTGAAAGTTGTTTTTTTTTCTTCTCTCAAGAACATCACATTTATAAGGCATCAACATCGTATAGAAATCTGAGGTAGTTTAAAAAGTAAATATATAAATGGCACCAAGTGGAACTGAAAAGTATTTTATAAATACATTTGGAAATGCTGAGTAAAAACAGAACTATAACAACTTATTTAAAACATGCACACTAAAAGGCTTATTGAACTTAGCTAAGGCACAACCAATTTGCAGAGTGCAGTAACCTAATCCAATTTCAGTTTTTCATAGTGTGATGCAAGACATTTTGGTTGGTTACTGCATTTTGCACATTGCTCTTTCCCTAACTGAAGTCCAACATTCCAACAGTATATAAAAAAAAAAATTCACAGCAATATTTTTTTTAGTCAGGAAGATTATTAAATATTCCTAATGCTAAAACATTTTCATTCTAAGGTCAAGAAAGGAAATGGTAGGCCCAATATCAAAGGAAGCAGACAAAATATTGAATATCTCTAAAATACACTTGCCAGCTTAAACCTGAAGGAGGTTCAAAGCCTTAACCGTTCTAATCACCCCGCAAACACGACACATACAATGGTAAAGACCTGACAAGTGCTGACTATTCACCATCAATCCAAAACTAAAAAAAACAGGTTTGGCTGGTTGCCTTTAATACAAATACTGAATAAAATATATGTTG